TTGTATAATTTGGATTAGATATATTAAATTATATATAATTTAAATTATTATAATTAAAAAAAATTAGTAAAATTAAAATTATCTCACATATTCTGACACAATAATTTTTATTTTCTAACGTATTATTTAAATTATAAAATATCAAATCTCATTTAAAAAAATTTACGCAAACAACTAAAAAAAAAAAAAGAAGAGTGGGGAAAGAGCAGGACTTTTAATTGGGTGCACACTTGCCAATTACACGCACAATGACATCAGCAAGTAACGCCAATCAAACAATCAACAAGCTATAGTCTTATGCACTCTCTCACCAACACAACTAATCACACGTTCGGCTAACTTTAAGATTAAGTCTACTAATAGGTATTTCTTAGTCAACTATTGAGTAAAAATTAAAATAGTAACTATATTAAGATATATTGTTTACTAATTTCTTAATCAATTATTAAATGTCGATTGATGTTGATTGAGATTTTATTGTGTTCTCACTTGAACAAATTTATTAGTGATAATAGCATCGCCGCTGTTCGTGTTTTCCTCTACGGATTCTTGAAGTTGCAATGTAAGCTCCGATGCCCCCACGATATCCCACATTGTAGGCCGTTCATTTCCCTGTTCGCGCGCACAATTCTCTGCGACCTCACCAAACTTCTGCAAGGCTATTGGTGTAATCTGGCCTGTCAAATATGGGTCCACGATTTCATCAAGGCTTTCTTTTTTGTAACAATTATGGGCCCATTGGGCCAAGCTCACTTTCTCCTCTGACAGGCCCTGGAAGACCGGTGGCTTACCACACAACACCTCAAACATGACCACACCAAAAGAGTACACGTCGGATTTCTCAATCGATGGTATTAGTCGCGAGCGATTATATTCTGGGTCTATGATGTTAGTGGAGTTGTAAGTGGCCGCGGCTGCAAACAAGTTGAGGGCTTGAAGGAGAGAGATGAGCGAAGTGGCGAGAGACAGCCGAGTCATTTTGTAAAGCATAGTATTCCCTGCACAGGTGTAACCTAAAATATCTCTTTAAAGGAAGACATAGTAGGACTTTTCTAAAGTACAACACTATATGGTGAGATTGATTGCAAGGAAGTGAATTTGGACATATGCCGTGTGGAAGAAACTTCATGGAGAAAAGCGTGGCGAAGACCTGCAAGTCTTTGGCTGAATTCTACGAGGCTTGGACCAATGACTCCGCCACCCTACTACCATTACCGTGGACGCTTGGTTGTTTAAGTTCATATGATAATGAAAGTTCAGACACTTCCAATCAAAAAAGTATTGCTGTGCTTTTACATTGATGTTGTTTTGTATTGTTGTAACTTCTGTGATGATTTCAGAAACTCAAATCGACCCTGTTTTGACATCTCCTGACTAAAGCGTAGCCAACTAAAGTGCAGCAGCAGCTCGGTTTGGAACTCAGCTATTAATTGGCAACAGAGTTTGACAGCAACAACAAAGTTCCCAAAACCAGCTATACCGATTATCAAATCATCATCCTACGATGATTGTCCCTAATGGATTTTTCTTTTCTTCCACTTACTTGAGATGTTGCTTTTACTTACGTTTTCCTGAAAATTTTGAAGAGACATTGAGTCTCTTGTGAATATATTAGCAATTCTGCATCTCATTAATGTTATGTCTTACGTTCTATTTATGGTTTACTGATATAAAATAAACCCCGTTGGTCTTAATTTCGTCCATTTCAGAGTTGGCGATTCTAACTACTGTCTTTAGAGTGCTTTTCCTGGTTGCTTCCACATACAAGTAGGTAATTTCCAAGTTGGTCCTGCTAGTTGGTTTCTTGTCAATAAGTCAATGAATTGGAAGTTTCCTGGAGATGTCCTACCAGTGCCTATGAACGTCACCACTACTTTGTGTTTATGCAAGATGGAAGATGAAACTTGAAAGTGGAGACTTAATTTCAAGATGAGAGATCTTCCATTTCTTTACAAATGTTCTTTCAAATTCTTTCATAAGAATAAAAAAGAAAAATCCTGCAAAAGTGGAAGAAAAACAAAATCTTCCAGTGAAGCTCTTCCCCAAGAACTATACCGTTAATTTTCACTAATGGAGATCAAAGCTGCCACGGAAAACTTGCATGAGAACTTCAAGATTTCCCAAGGAGATTTCCGCCGCTGTATATATAAAGGCTTTATCAATGATGGTACTTTGGCTGTTGCTGTCAAACGCCTCCACCCAGAATCTTGGATGGGAATTCATGAGTTCCAAAATGAGGTGCGGTTGCTCTGCCAACTGTGCCATCCGAATCTTGTCTCTCTCGTCGGGTTCTGCAAGGAGGAAAATGAAATGATCATTGTAAGAGAATACATAAACAATGGGACGCTCCATGATCATCTTCACGGATCGCTGGGTCGTGATTCATTCCTATGGGAGCGGAGACTAGAGGTATGCATTGGGTTGGCGCGTGCCTTACATTACCTTCACTCTGGAGTAAAGTACGCAATAATTCACCGTTATGTCAAGAGTTCAACCATTTTTTTGGATGAAAACTGGACTGCAAAGCTTTCTGATTTTGAGTTATCCAAGATGGGTCCGCATAGCATGTCAAAGGCTTTGATAAGAGTCGACTCAGCGGTCAAGGGTACTTATGGGTATGCAGATCCAGAGTATGTAGCAACCGGTGAATTAACTGAAAAATCTGACGTGTATTCATTTGGGGCAGTTCTGCTGGAAATTTTATGTGGTAGGCTGGTAATAGACGGAGGTTTGGAGAAAGATCAGATAGATCTAACTGAATGGGCTCGTAAATGCATCGAAAATGGGACTATTTATGACATCATTGATCCGTATTTGAAAGGGAAGATAGCTCCAGAGTGTCTTGGAAAAGTCGTAGAGATTGCTTACAGTTGCATCAGTCTGGAGGGAAGAGACCGACCAACAATGGGCGAAGTGGAGGTGACTTTGGAGCTTGCATTGGAACTGCAACAGAAAGCTCAGGCGCATTCCCATTTGTACTAGAGAAATTATAATATGGATGCTGATGAAAATTCAGTCAAAGTTACAAATCCTTTCTTTTAATTTTGGTCTCTTTTATTTGTTATGAAAGCTACTAAAACCGCTGCCCTAATTAATCATCTGTTTACTGCAATTTCCAATTGACATTGACTTGGCCTGCCTTTCCACACGGTGCAACTCAAAGTCACCTCTAGAAGAGCAGAGGAAAGTAAAAGATGGAAGTTTCAATGCAGGTTGCTGTGGGATGAAATTCAATATCTAATTAATTCACATCATCGGTTTGATTTTACTGATTGTGAGGGTTTACTAGCCATTTATTTACCAAGAAGGTTTTTGCAGTTTTGTTGGACCATACCTCTTATATCGCCCAAGAAGCAAAGGCATTAATTGGCTGACGTTGTGCTATCCTATCCTATCTCATGCATAGTTATGTAGTGTGCAGGATCAAGAACATAGATGAAAACTAAAAAAAAAAAAAGAATGCTAATGTTGTTAATGATATTTATTTATTTATTTCAAGCTAAAATCAGCAGGAGATTGAATCAAGATTTTGACAGAAACAGGATATTTTTCATTCAGAAAGGAAGCTGAGAGAAGAACATGGAATGTGTCACAGAACCAACAGAGACCAACAACTGAATTCTGTTGCTGTCAGAATTGTCATTAGTTCATTTTACATGGTCTTACCATCCCAATGATGCTGTGCGAAGTGGCCCAGTCATAACGCCATGATCCAGGTCTCTCCATCACAAGGGAGTGGATATCATCTAGCTTGTACAAGTATTCATCGTGATCTCCAGGGGATAGATGAAGTAGTACTTCTGGATAAGTATAACCATTATAAGTATTGACAGGCTGCACAACAGAGTCAGCTTTCTGTTGCAGCTCCAGTGCAAGCTCTAGCGTCAACTCTACTTCTCCCAAGGACGGTCGTTCACTTGCCTTTGGATGAAAGCAACTATAAGCAATCTCCACAAATTTTACCAAACAATCAGGTGCTATTTTCCCTCTCAAATATGGATCAATGATATCATAAACATTGCCAGCTCTCAAGCATTTATAGCTCCAAGCAACTAGATT